ATAATTAACATTCAATTGAAGAACCATGGCGTATGATTTTAAGCCATACACGCTCTTGTTCAACTTTCGTAGATTGAATTACTTGTATGATCTCCCCGAGGATCTCCCCTTCGTGATGAGATTTACGTTATATAAAATACAGCATTGGTTTTGCATTATCTGTTGTGTTATCATAAAGATATTTAACTTGATACAATGGTGACCAATCAAATCAATATCAATCGTCTGCATAAATTATGTAGGTATATTAAAAGTGCGAAGGGTTATTGTGAAATTTCCCGAGTATGTGAGCGAGATATATTTGCATTTTTGATGCTCGTTCGCTAAATTAATAACTTAATTCTTTTATTTTCCCTAACATACAACTATTATTCATATATTGTTATAAACGAAAGATGTTATATTAAAGATATGATGTTTTCATATTAATTAGAAACACACATCCATGCACACATCGTATATTTTTAAAAGGACTGGATTTTCATCATAATTATAATTTTATTTTACGATAATTTAACATGCCTAGTTTTAATTATGATTTAATTGCAATTAATATATTTCACAATTCAAGAATTATATTAAACTAATGTGATTCTTGAATTGAAATGTATTAACTGCATTTAAATCATGTTTAAACCTCAATATGATTACTAAACTGAATTTATTTATTTATTACTTTTATTTATTCTGTTACTATTCATTTCTGTAAAATTCGCTTAAGCGCAGAATAAATGCACATTGTGTGTGATGGTGCATTCATAAACTTAAAAAAATATATATAAAATCTACTTGAAAAGCATTGGGAAAAAAACACGCCATGTACATCTTTGAAAACAGTAACAATCAAAATAATTATAAATTAATGGCATAAAACAAATAAAAAGGATATTAAATAAAGCAATAACCACTTTTCCAGCAGTGTCGCGTCAGAAACAAAATTAACATGATTCCGAGCACAACTCCGACTTAATTAGCGACTAATTCAAATGGCGGAACTGCTCGCGGCAAAGTCTCTAATTATATTATTCGTTCTCTCTCATTTAATTCTCTTTTTTCCATATGTCAAGCGACGAAACCTTAATTGACAATTCTGTTCGTTTGACGAGATAGTTGACGTCGTCGAGTTAATTGCCGGCTAAATTAATTGAAGTTCGCCCGGAATCGCTCTCGGGGAGTCGGGAAGCGAAAATCGAACGCCGACGGCCTCGCTGCCAACCGAAGGCAAACTTCGGCGCGCGAGGGGCTCCGATTTCCCTATACATTCTTTCGATTGCTCATTACTCCCGCGCCATTCAAATCGCCGCTTATCGCGTCGTTGCGTTCGGGGCTTGAGGATTCCGCGGCGGCTTTCCGCGGGAAGTCGCCGCTCGGTGGAATATTCCGGCAGAGGATACTAGGATATTCGACGGCGCCGCGGGCGAGGTTGACGGCGTGTCTGCCCTACGCCGGAAAATCAATCGAGAACCCCAGGTGGACACCGCGCGGCGCGGCGCGACTCGGCTACGTTCATGCCGTCGCGTGACCGCCACCGTCGCCGCCGCCGCCGCCGCCGCACGCCGCGCCGCGGTAGCGAGCGAGGGGAGCTGGGGAGCGCGATTGGGCGCCGGGCGCCGGGGCGTGCGAGAGGGAGACGACGGGCGGGGGGTGGGGAGCTTTGGCCGATGGCGGCTGTCAACTCGCACGGATCCCAGCCCTCGCACGCGCGGTACGCGACCGTCGTCGTCCACTCCCGGAGTTCCTCGCCTTTCGCCCGGGCCCGAAAATAGCCGGGCGCGCGCTCGCTCGCACGCACCAGCTCGCACGCTCGCGCTCGCTCGCATCCGCGCCGCGCACCGTTGAACGCGCGGCGGCACGGCACGATTTCACGAGGGCGCGCGACACTGCACGGCCCGCCACCAGCCTCTTATATGACATCGGGCAAGGAGACAATGGGGTAAGTCGAAGTGCCGGCTCCCCGCGGGGGCCGGCCCAAGAGGCAGTCGCCTAGTCGCCTTCCTTCCTTCCTCTCCTCCGCCCGTCTCTCTCTCGCCGACACCCGCCGATCCTTTTAAGGGTGTGCGAAGGTGGCCGCGTGTACCCGCCGCGCGGCGCGGTTACGACGGAATTAATCCTCTCCCTCCGCCCTCCGGAGGGTGTGTGCATCTGTATGCGTGTGTGTGTGTGCGCGCCGCGCCTGTCGCCGGCATCCCCGGTCGCGCGTGCACGCGCCGCGCACCGCTGCCTGCCTCTCTGCCTCTGCCGGGCCCCGCCGCTCCGAGTCCGAAGATGCGGAAGAAGACGACGACGACGACGAGTCTCTGTCCCCCCGCGTCGCGACGCAGCGCCGCGTCTCCCTACGCTGCGTATATTCCGTCTCTCCCCCCGCGCGCCTGACCGCCGGCCCGATTGACACTGATGCGGCGCGTATCCGGGTAATGGTATAATTATGTACCGAGAGCAGCCGGATATAATGTCAACCCTTTCCCTTCTTCCGCGAGAAACTGCGGGGGCTGAGGGCTGAGAACTTTCCGTTCTGCTCGCCCGACAGAAGAAGACCATTACCAGAACACGACAAAGATCTGGAACAGCGCTCGGAAGCTGAGAATTTTTTTTTTTTAAATACCCGCAATAGAATATTTTCCTACGCGGGATTATTTATGACGGCAATTGTGACGCGTCAACCCTTTTTTTCCTCCCGCCCGCGGCGACGTTTTTTTTTTATCTGAAAGTCACTCGGCGTTTATTAAATTATTGTCCTGTATCTCGTTTAAAAGAATTTGTTTCTTGAAAATCAAAAGCGATAAGAGTTTTATTAATAAAGTGATGTATTGTTTGATGAAACGTCGCTTTTCTATTTTACTTTGTTAAATAAACTTTGTTATATGAACTTTGTTAATATTTGAAATGTTAGATAACGTTGACTGTCCTTTTATTGATAGATTGATAGATATTGTCTCTCTTTCATCGCGAGTCCTGTTTTACACGCTTCCTTCCGCGTCACAAGTTTGCAACAATTCCGCGCCGTACATCTGTAAATATGCACTCGCGTTAACTGGGTCGGTTAAAAATAGATGCTTTGTGTCATATGTGTATGAAAGACCATGGATACGCACTCCCTTGACATTATTCATAATTGATTACAGTGAACAACCAATTTTCATGTGCAAAGCGCATGTGTTTCACATCGATCCCAAGACCAAGCGGTCTTGGGTACCGGCGTCATCGGCAGCAATATCGGTGTCGTTCTTTTACGATTCCACCAGGAGCTTATACAGAATAATCTCGATCGAAGGAACAAAGGTAATTTGAGAGCGACGCTCTTATCTAGAGAATAGAAACGGAAACGAACGTCTAAAATCACTTGTCTTCTCCTTTTCTCCAGCCTGTCATCAATAGCACAATTACCCCGAACATGACTTTCACCAAGACGTCGCAGAAATTCGGCCAGTGGTCGGACGTCAGGGCGAACACCGTGTACGGCTTGGGTTTCGCGTCCGAGGCCGAATTGGGAAAGGTTTGTGTCGCAGTCCCTTGAAGCCGTGATCAGACTGCGGATTGGGATTGAGATTGGATTGAAATTTCACCAATTAGAGCAAAGTTCACTAAACTTAGTTTTCTTTATTCTGATTGATTAAATTTCAATCCAATCTTAATCCCAATCCGTAGTCTGATATAATCTGCAAATCTTCGTGTATCACGCTCTCAGAGGAGATGTTCTTCGTTGACAGTTCATCGAGAAGTTTCACGAGGTGAAGGAAGCCACGAAGCTTGCCAGCGCCAAGCTGCAGTCCAACAGCTCTTCGGTCACGCCGGCCACCAGCGCGAACGTCAGCCCGATTACGTCCCGATCGGGTATGCCGTCGTCAGAGCAGGATCTCATAGATCCGCCCAATTCCTCGATGATTAACTCCAACGTGTCGTCGAACAACCAGAATCCGAATGCCAATATGATTTCCGCTCAGAACAGTGTATCTTCGGTAAGCAGCAGTCCTTTACCTGGTAGTTTTCAGAATAAACTGGACGACGAATTGAAAAACGCAGTCCATTCAAGATCACAGAGTGTTTCTCAGAGTACAGAAAGTCCGCAACATCAAGGGAAATCGGGGCAATTGAGCTCAACGCAAGGACAATCGGCTGAGGTGCAGCTCAAGTATGAAAACGACAGGCTGAAACTTGCTCTAGCTCAAAGTTCTGCTAATGCCAAGAAATGGGAGGTACGAATTCCGGAAGAATGTGTATTCTACTTTTATAGTTATATAAATAATGTTATAGATAATAAAATACTGTGACGTGTTATTACAGGTTGAATTGACTACCCTTAAAACTAACAATGCCAGATTGACGAGCGCGTTACAGGAGTCCACGGCTAATGTTGACGAATGGAAGAGGCAGCTGCAATTGTACAAAGAGGAAAATGCCAAAATAAAGCTTAAATACGCCGACTTGGAAGCTGGTAAGATCGCGGAAGGAAATAGCGAGGCACTGAGATTGAGAGTCGAAGCATTGGAAAGCGAGCTGAGAACGCGAAACGATGAAATCAAAGCTCTCACTATGGCCACCAAGAATAAGGATTTTGTGGTATGTACACGGAGCTTGCTGTGAAGCCTGATGATCGGTGTTCGCGTTCACGTTGACATTTCATCGAGTCATATTTGATTAACGAATATTTCTTTAATTATATTAATAACGAAATATTTCCTTTTTTTTTGTTTTGCAAGGCTCTACAAAAGGAGAATGCGGAACTCCGCGAGATGTTGAATGTAGTTCATGAACAATTAGAACTTGCGTTGAGTGCAAATAAAGTTCAAAAACAAAATTTGGATACGTTAAACGCCAGATTAGCTGGCTACATACAGGATTTGGTAACGGTACATCGAGAAATCACAAATACATTGCAAACCTAAGTTTGCACCATAGGGGAAACCTAAGAGTGCCTCTCTTAGGTCTTTTGTATTTACTGTAAGCGCGATGTACGAATGGACGATATAGATTAATAACAAAGAGAGAGAGAGAAGTTCTGAGAACAAAGAGAAAAATTGAGCAGAAAAATTATAGAATACTGAGATAATTGTCTCGAAAATAGTACACTACAGAAGAGATTGCTCCCTGAACATGTATTTAAATTGCATCGACCTGACCTGTTTAAAACTTTCTTTCTTTCTTTTTTTTTTTTTTTTAAAGGTAATTTTTGTGCCATAATCTTGCTATTGTTATACAGAATAGGACTCTGACTTTACCATCTGCTTTTTTTCCTTCTACACGGAGTATATATGATTTTAGAAACTACGAATCCAGTTGAGTTTGCACTTGATTCTGTTTCTAAAAGTTAATTGGTTTTCTTACCAGAGTTAAAACAGAAGTTTCCCGTGCTTTTCTTTTAAACAAAAGTTCTGGAGAATTTCAAGAAACCGACTTAATGCTCACCTCGATATTATTTTCCTAAACATTGCATCACGTGTAGAAAGTTTGTTGCATTATCCGCAGTCTGCGAGACGTGGTAATTACTTTCCTTACAACGGTTATTAGACTCTCATTCTGGAACATAGCAATAACTGTTCAGTTATTACTATGTAGACTTTTACTGTAGATATAGTAATAATAGTTATTACTACGGTCATAATTCGGTTATACTGTAGTACATTTATAATCGTGTTCTTATTTGTAATTCTCAGAAATTGAGAATTGAAAGAGAATTGTATACATATTTAACAAAATGTGAATACTATTAATGAAGTGCTGTTTCTCGACGAATTCACAAGTGACTTAATAGAAAACTGAATGAGAGTCTAGTGATTTAAGGAATATGAACTCAAACCACGTCACATGTCGACCAGATACTTATAGATACGGGTAAATAAGGGAGATATTTGAAAACACTGTGGGACACATTTAAATAATTTAAATATAATTACAATATAAAGTTTTCCGTGGTGTTTTTCAAGCTTCGGATAAGTACAAGAGCTTAAAGCTTTCTATTGTATTGAACGTTGTCTAAATTGTTTAAATCTGTTCCGAGTGTTGAAATGTTTAGTCTCTCTATGGATCATACAGGGTGTCTAAAAATATACAGTCAAACTTATATTAAAGTGGTCGAGCATGTGAAGAAAGTTTATATTGAATCTCCAAAAGTACTTCGTGAATGACTTACAAGAAGTTGACGGTTCCCTGCTCTGCAAAACTGCTCTTATCGCTTTCGTAATTCTTTAGACGTGTCCGGCTAATTCAGAAGCAAGCGTCAGATATTATTTACACTTCCGCTAACTGATTACATTTATTTAAGACATTAGAAAGCTCCAATAAACTTATATGAACTATAGCAGACAAATAAAGTGCTTGTATATATAGAAAAGAAATATGGACAATAAGAGTAATCAATTTCAAGCAATTTATATATAGGAACAAAGGAAAGAAATGTCATATTAATACCTTTTTTTATATTTCTTTTATGTATGTAATTACTTTTTCTAATCTACTTTAGATTAAATTTAATGTTTTATAATGATATGATAGTACAGTTTGTGTTACTTTTTTACTTTTCTACTACATATTCAATTTTAGAACAATTTTAGATGTAAGACGACAAAGACAAATACGAAATTTTTGCAATTTTTAGAAAATGTTTGCATAGCGTAGATTAACTAAGTGAACATAATAATGTCTTCTCTGGAATGTCGTTTAAGAATCGATGCTTCACAATATGTATAAGACCACCTTCGAATTTTATTGTGCAAAATGCTACTCATGTGTCTGACGATGTGCGCATCATATTTACCACATTGGTACATGAAACGGCATGTGTCTGTGATAATTTTCATCTTGATATTTTTCTATCTACGTTTTTTATATGTCTTTGCTCTGGATTGAACATTTATTTTGCACTTTTTTTTTTCATCAAATTCGGGTGTGAATTACATCTTGTGTGTAAAAAATTAATCGATTTTCCACAATATGCTAACGTTTGCTGGTACAATCTTTTTATGAAACATTTTATGTATAGCTTTTTCTGTCCATAGGTGGAAGATATTTCAGATGGTAAAGTTAGGTGTCCCACTCTGTAAAAGATGCATACAATTATTGTTGAATTTGTCGTATGCGAGCACCAGTCTTATGTATAAAATACAGTAGAACGACGACTGTCTCAAGTGCGTGTTTGTGAGAGAGATGTTTTCATAAGAGCGTTCATGCGAAATAATCCATCTGGATGAAAGAAAGCACAAGAAAGAAAAATAATATTCTTCCAACAAAAGATTAAGATATTTGGTATCGGTATGACAAATATAATACTGCTTCCCTGAACGCATTATCTAATATTAAAGTACGCATCCTCCGCCTCTCACACAACTACTGCGTTTCGATGCTAGCATATAATATATATATAGAGAGAAAATAATTTCAGGTTTCACGCATTTCCTCTCGATTGCAAATTCTCTGACCTGGACGACTCTGGTTAAAGAATCCGTAGATAAAAGAAAATGCAGTGAAGAACTTGAACGTTTTGTACATACATTTATTTCGATTTTTGAATCCTGCAGTACTCGTGCACCATGCCCCGTCGTAAAATTTATTATCCACGCTCGCTTATCAACACGATCGCATTAATTTTGCATCAGATCGTAATCGCATTTGGCGCTAGATCGTAATATATTTTAATTACAGAGATATTTGTTGTAGTTTACATCAAGCTTGAGACTGTACGACAGTACTGGAGGGTTTAAAGCAATGTTATATTTATCGACGGAATTATATACAATCTTGTTATTAGAGAGAGAATTTATGTTTTTAAGGAATATTATACATATATTTTTAAGTTTATATTAAACTATTTTACGGATATTATCTTTTATTATAAGATTCTTCGCTCGGATTCTTTTTTGTTATCTTTATTATACTTTGTATTTAATATGTATATTTATATTTAATGTTTTTTTTCTATTGGAATAATCGTTACTCATAATTCTCGTGTTAATTTATAATCTCGGATAATCGACGTTTTACTGTACAATGTAGGGATAGTTTGATTTTCCATGACATGTACCGAAGTTAAATGATTGCCGCGTGAACGCGCGCATTAATAATTAAGTGATTAATATATGCGCACTTACGTATTGAGCCCATCGGAGAAAATGTGTAGTAATTTTATGTCGCGTCTTGGCCGCAGATTTGTATACTCTTTTGCAGTTCGTTTTTATATAGAAATTTATGTTAAATGCATGTTTGTTATATTTTTTATCGTACGAATATCAGAACACATATGATTATTATTATTGTTGGCTGAAAGAGCATTACTATTGTCATTGCTATTGCCGCTACTTCTACTATTGCGATCATGATACTATTATTAAGTCACTCTCTTAATCTACTATTACTATCGCTCAAATCTCTTTCTCTGTATACATCTATTATTGATAACTTCATTATATATTATTGCGAGTGGCATTGTCGTTAGAGATATTTTAATTACCGGTATTGCAAATATATTGTATTAATTGCGCCTGCAAAAATGTTTAATAGTTAGATACATAAAACATATCAAGAACGTCACACGATTAGCATAACATGCGTTTCTCGAATTCTTCCTTTTCTTTCTTATTTTTACTCCCATATAACAGATCACCAGTTACCCGTGAACATAATTAACAACGTCTACGCATTTAATGTTAATAACATTTAGTAAAATCCCGATTATATAGCAAAATTAATTAATTTTATTGTATGTTATATTCGTATTGTTCCTGCACACAATTTCTCTTTATTATCATTTATGGGGATCTAGAATGTCTGATACGCACTGTATAGAACCGTTAATAATAAACGGCTTTGATTGTACAAGGTGGTTATTAGCGATACAGTCAGATAATTTTATTTGAAAAAAAATTAAAAATGCAGACTGAAAATTTTCTGCACGAAGCTTGGTCCAGAAAGTTTTTCCGAATCTAAAATTGGGAAATTAGTAAGTAGTTTCTTCTGTTTTAAGTTTGCAGGTTTCACCGGTATTGTGCCATTAACTAGACAAATTAATTTTAATAATAATTATAAAAAAAAACATGAATAAATATGTAATATTCTGTTTGAAAGAATTGTCTTGATATTTTACAAATAACATTCTCTTTTAATTAATCTTTGCTATTTTTTAGTTGAAAAAATGTTGAATTTATTCATTCATATTTTGATTGCTTCAGAAAAACGATAAAGACAACTAAAAAGAACTAATAAAATAACTGAAAAGAACTTGCTTATACAAATATACATGTACAATTGAGATTTGAGGATTAGATAGTCGCTTTATATGACTTTCCTCGACATTTTCGTTACGGGAAAATCTATTTCAAGTCCGTCGATGTTGAAATCCAAGATTGTATATCGCAGAACACCTTGTATAGTCGAAAGATAGGTGATAAGTAAGATAGGATCGTACGTGTATGATTCGAAAATGTGTGTAAGATGATTCCTTTGCTACGCACAACCCGGAATCGTCAATCAAGATCTGTTCTGATGTATTTGACGAAGGCTTTTCAGTACTGTATGTTAAATTTTTCTTTTATAAATCCTTATACGGTATGTTGAAAATATACATTTTACTGTTAAGACGATGTATCATATTCTGCAAAAATGTGAGAAATTCATTATCGGGTTTTCATCATTCATAATTACGGATGATTACAGCATTCAGCTCGTGCGTTATTCGCTGTACTGTAATTGTATAGCGCGGAAAACGTGTAAGGGAACGATTTTCGCACAAGGAGTCTGAATAACGAGAGATCTCTCAAAGTGGTAAAGGTGATAAACCTAGACAAATTTTTAGTAGATAATTTAGAGAGTAAGACAGGTGCAGATGTGCTAGGAAAAAAGCACTTTTTACCGAAAAAGTGTTGAGATGAATTTTAATTTGAGGAATTGGAAACGGAAGCCTCGCTTGCCATATGTAATCTTAATAAAACATTTTCAGACGGCTTTTCGATGTTTTCCTTTTACTATAAGCCATGAGTTCCACATGCTAACTCTTAATTAATACGACAATTAGTTCTTTTCCGCGATAACACTTTTTATCCGCGATATTAAAAAATATTACAATAACGATCGAGATCTTACAAGAACATCGTTCTGCAATACATTCCCTTTATTTTTTAACGTACCCGATTCATCAATGCAAAAGTTTACTTCTCGTAGATACGGTAGATACTCTTAAATAATAATCCTTGTATTGGATACTGGATGCTATTGTAGAATCATCGAATTCCTATGGAATGCGTCATGGAAATCTGATTACAGCGTTGAGTGAATAAATTTATAAGTATGCATGTTAGCAGCATGGCGTCATGCATGCAACACAGATATACAAAACTCTCTCTTTTATATATATATATATATATATATATATATATATATATAATATATATATATATTATTATATATATACATTTAATATTATTATATATATACATTTAATACTACTTTATTACTTAATAGTACTAAAGCCGATAGTAATTAAAGTTTAAAGATAAAATTATATTAAAAATTCGCTTGAAAGCAATCGGTTTTTTGTAATTTTGGACACTTGTCATTTGTCGGTTTGGCATAACTGATACTTTGTTAAAAACACAGTCACTTTAAACTATTATAATAACGCCTCGATATATTACAATACGTTTATTTATAGTTTAGTCTCATTCTGCGGTTCACAGGAAAACGCGTGACTTCCGCGGCACTCCGTGATGCGTGCCGATTCCGTCACGCATTCTACGTGCAAAAGAACGTCACGATTTGTTCTCATTGAGTCAAGGATTATGAATCACGTATAGTTCGTGAGTAACATCCATTACGATTCGAGATGAAAGGAATACGTAATAAATGATACATTCTGAGTTTCATGTAACTGCACCGGCAAAATACTTCACATATAAGCTTTTATCCATATTTGCTTTTCTCTTATTTAGAAAAGAACGACAAAGATAACAATCAAGATGATCTTACGTAAAATAATAAGTTAAAAGTCAAAACGAAATTCTCTCTCCCAAGTTGTTTCAAGCTGTATGACACATAAAATGATTCAAGCTTTATAACATATTCTTCAATTAATAAGAAATATAAGGAATATCTTTACGCATGGTACGATTAAAATCTTAACACACAGTTATACATAATTAAAATCATGATACATGCAATTAAATAAAATCGTGACCCTTATAAATCCTTTTCAACATACAATTCCAATATTTTTTACTAATTGTAGATACAAAGGTTCTCCAAGAGCTTTGTAAAATTTATATCTATCCAAAGTTAAAGATGAACATAATGAACAACTCTATGTTACAAAACTTCAATATACAAATCACCATACTATTGTCAAATCATCATGTAGCGACTATTGTTGCCTCTCCAATTTGTGCAGATCATTAAAATTAGAGATAATTTGTAAATCAGTAATGAGATATAATTCAGTAATCAATATAATAGTCGAGTGATGTAATACATCCGGCTTTTTGGTATCTTATATACATTGTTTTCATTATAGTCTTATCGATCTCATATATGGCATCAGTCCGACAGTTCATTCGCCATCTCTTGGCTCGCTACAGGATATTCCGTTCTCCACGTCACTACTCGGTGCTACGTCGACAACCCCACCAACACACATTCTCTCACTCTCTCTCTCCTCAATGCTGTCTTTAATATCGCCGCTGTCTGCCCGTTCCCACACCCAGTTAGTGAAGCATTCGCATTCGTGTAGAAGATTGCGACGAAGTATTCTGAAAGCCGGCATCCTGCGCAAATTGTAAGTGAAGTTATAAGTTCTAACGCAAGTGAAAATTATTTAAAATAAATCATGATCTGAACAGCCGGCACTTAAACTGTTACTAAAGTTAACATAAAATTATTTAAAAAATAATTTTAAGAGATTAATATGCTATTATAAATAGGCATAATCAGTTTGCATCGATACGACTGTTGTTTGTGACTTCCATTACATAGCTGACCATGATTGACTATAAGTTGTATCAGCATATTAATCATGTGTTATGTATGTCGCTTGACCTCAATAATCTTGGCCTGTCAAATTCTAAATGTGATTTAAATGTAATCAATGATTTATCATGCAACCTCTGTTGAGATACTGACAGCTTAGTTCAGCAATAAAATGAATAAACAGATTACTCATTTTCCCACAATCAATTATATATCATCAAAATTCGATAAAGCTTGACATCAACAATTTTAAGACAGCCTTGGGAGAATTATAGACAGCGTTTATTTCTTTTACGAGATATAATACAATTAAAGTTTGCTGAATTATTTAATCATCGTTATTTCACAAACAATTAAAAACTAATATTGAAAACTTTTTCGGGCATATATTGAATTACTTTTTTTCAAAAGCATATCATGCATTTATATTCTTCTCTGAGCAAGAGAACGGTCATTAAGTTCGCGTGAATCATTGTGGGAACCAGAGAGTGAATAAGAAACAAAAGTCACACCGTACTTCCGTCATCATTGTCAATTATATTAATGGACGACGTATATAAGTATGTATCTTATACTTTAAGCTTTTCCCGTTAAGACACGTAATCATCATTAATATTTCGCGTTGCGAGACCAGCCATCAGTGTAATGAGTCGAACAATCGGGGTCGATTTCATGCTTCTTCCATTAGAAGCATTCATCCACTTTCTACCGTCGTAGTGTCTCGAAAGCGATGGCTTTGGCAAGGACTGCTTTTTCGACGCGCATATACCCAACGCTGAAAAATTATAAGTTATTGCGGTCAATGTCGAATTATTGTTGGGAAAAAAAGAGCAGAATACCGCAAGCGGATTGAAATCAATTCCGTTAATTGGACATTATCATCAATAATTTAACTAATTTGTTACGCGTATCCATTACTCAATACTTAAGAGAATAAGAGAAGCACAAGTAATATTAAAATTCACGGCTTGATAGCTCGAATAATTAGGAGCTATTCGCGGCGGTGTTTCGCATTTAAAGACCACGTGAGAGTCACGGACCGGTACCGGTCTAATCCGCGCTGTGTCATCCAATTCCGGGTTTCATCCGGCAAAAAATACCGAACCGTCGACCGGTGCCTTCATAGTCGACACGATACGAACGCGTATTCGCCCCACCAGCGAATTCCTTTCCTCTTCTCTCTGCTGCTTCTCGACGGAAGAGGCTCTCAGCGACGGAGAACGCTGGGTGCGGGCCGTTAGTTAGTCGGCCATCAGAACCGGTACCGTTCCCCGGAAAGAGCGTCGCCGTCGGAAAAGGTAAAGCAAGCCACACCCTGGAGTGTCACTTCGCCGGTATCCGATCGATATGATCCTGCGGTATATATCCTGCAAAATAGCGTGTTCACTTCGTCATTTAAAATCAAAGTGATACAACAGATTCTCAATAATCATGTAGCAACAGGCGAATGGATAGCGGGGTGTTACTCGATGACATCATCGTCACGAACGTGAGGCGTATCTGAAACGAGTCAAGGACGCAAGCACCGCGTCGCCGGATCGCGTGTTTGCACTTACATTAACCGTGACAGATGAGAATTATCATCGCAGAGCGTCGCTTTCCTAATGACAATTACGACTTTCACGTTACAATAAAGCGCCGCTATTATAACGCAAAGAATTTTACTACAAAATAATTCACGTTTTCTACAGTTCTCTTGGATACCAGTATTAATGAATAATTAATAATCTAATATCTAGAGATCAGAAAGTTGAAAAGTTTAAGGAAAGGCTATCAAAATCATCTATCTAAAGTTTAACAATAAAATCTTTGCTCCCGAAATTAGTCATCAATGAATAATTAATTCTGGATTCTTAATTTCTCACTTGATATAAAATACATAGCTGACATATTAAAAATGATTTCAGATAACCAGCAAGATGGCAGCTAGCCAGTATTATCATGTACAGGTAATTTATATGTTAATATCTCATAGCATCGCAATAAACAGTCTCACAATAGTGGCTGAGCAAGATAAATGACTCATCTCGTTATTTCCATACAGTTTTAATCTCTTATATCCATCAAACATTCTAAACGAATGACTTTTATAACTTCTGTAGCGTGTTTTTAAAGTCAGAAAGAGAAAGAATGTCCAATCGAATTATTGCTAACGACACGAAAAATCGACGTCAACTGATCAAAAAATAAAGTTATGTATAAATCTTGCTAAGAATGAGTCATTCATCGATACGTTAATGTTAAAAACGACCGCGTCACTACTTCTCTTTAAAGTTAGCGTTAAATGCGTAATTTAAGAAAAGCGAGTTTAAAAATACTTTTCTTACGTTATTAAGTTGAAAAGATTTGTCATATTCGCCAAATAAGGTTGAAAATAAACTTTCAGTGAAATCGAAGCAGAATTGTTTCGCCACAGGCTTATTCTGTTGTATTTCCGAGATTTTCTATTAACTATTTAAGATATGACTGGATAGAAAAACGACAAGTCTTTCCAACTGAATAAGTATACCTATAGATATAAAAAAAAAAAGATTAAATAAATTATATAAATTGTCTAATTCTAATGCGCTAATTAATTTGAGTATACTAATTAGTGAGCTCGATATACATTTAATATCATTCATTGTGAGAGTATCCATCGTTTTGAGACTAAAAATGCTTCCAGTGCACGCCCACCGTGTATCCGGCCGATCCTTTCGATCCCGAGGCAGATGCCAGCCTCCTACGAGCTGCGATGAAGGGTTTCGGGACTGACGAGCAGGCCATCATCGACGTCTTGGCTCATCGCGGCATCGTGCAGCGATTGGAGATCGCCGACAAATTCAAGACAATGTACGGCAAGGATCTAATCTCCGAGCTGAAGTCTGAGTTGGCCGGAAACTTTGAGAAAGCCATCCTGGCTCTAATGACGCCTCTTCCCGAGTATTATGCCAAGGAGTTGCACGAAGCTATTTCCGGTATGGGTACCGATGAGGGTGCGCTCATCGAGGTCCTCGCGTCTCTGAGCAACTACGGCATCAAGACGATATCGGCCGTTTACAAGGATCGTAAGTTTCGATGCAGCATATCTTCCAAGATCGATCTTGCCTCCAATTTACAGCCTTTCTGCATAGGACAGATATTTCATTTAAAAAAACGCACTGTATTTTATTTTCTAGTTCCGATCGATTCTAAACTACGTAGTTTGTAAATATATTCTTGATTTATTTCCCTAGTGTACGATAACGAGCTGGAAGACGACCTCAAGAGCGATACCTCCGGTTATTTCAAGAGACTTTTGGTGTCGTTGTGTTGTGTGAGTAACAGTTAGAAGATAATATATGTAACTCCGCGCAATTGTCCAGTCAGACAATTTCTGTAATTTTTTGATCAACAATCAGGCCAGCAGAAACGAAAGTCCTGACGTCGATGAGGAGGCCGCGCGTGAGGACGCCGAGAGGCTCCTTGCCGCTGGTGAGGGACAGTGGGGTACCGACGAGAGCACTTTCAACGCAATCCTCATTACCAAGAGTTTTCCGCAATTGCGAAGAATCTTCAAGGAATACGAACGTCTTGCCGGACACACCTTGCAGCACGCTATCAAGCGAGAATTCTCTGGTTCTGTTGAAGACGGCTACTTAGCTGTAGGTAAGAAATCAAATAGATTAAATACAATCGATATGATTGACTCATTATTCCTTATATTCAGTAAGTTATTCCTTACCTCTATTAATCGTGCCGTTTCTTTTCTTTTTTTTACACGCATTCACTTATCTATTGCTCTATAACTGAAACTGGCCTTCTTTTAGTGAAATGCGCCTGCGACAAGACGGCTTATTTCGCGGAAAGACTGTACAAAGCTATGCGTGGGATGGGCACGACCGATTCAACGTTGATACGCATCATTGTGGCGCGATCGGAGATCGACCTCGGTGACATTAAGGATACTTATGAGAGACTTTACGGAAAGTCCCTTGCGGCAGCCATCGATGTAAGTGAAACACTTCTATACTTCCTGAAACAGTAATAATTTTATGCTAATTATTACTCTGGCCGTTCCGTTTGCTCCTTTTATCGCATTTTATTTATAATTGTGTTCTTATTTCCGCAGCAGTAAAGTTAATAAAAGACAGAAAAATGCAATAACATAATACAAATAAACATATATAAAATAATATTAATAAAGATACAAGTCTAAACAGAATCTTTTTAATGACAAATTCTTAGGTGAAATTCAAACAATTTCTTTCCGTAATTCAAATTTTATCGAAAATGTTTAGACTCAATTTAACTCCAGCGCTTAAATTCTACGGCTTTTACTCATTCACTTAATACAGTAATGCTTTATCTCCACTCAAGGTGTTAAATTATGCATTCACATCATAATTCTCTCTTTTATACTTATACGCATTCGCAGTCGCTAAACTACAATAAAATAATAATAATCTGTTAACTCACATATACACTGTATATCTATCAGCACCATATAACTTTCCATAAATTTCAGGACGACTGTTCAGGCGACTACAAGAGACTCTTGCTTACCCTTCTCGGATGAAAATATTTCAATCGTGCAACAGACCCTTTTATTGAAAATTACTTCGCGGAGATTGTATAGCGCTTCGTTATATTCTGCAAAGATCTTGGTTTATTTAATTCCTTATGTTACGCTGGTTGTTAATGGTGAATATGGTTTTACTCGTGTTATTTATGTTTTGCGCTTGTTCGGAGTGACGCAACGTGTGTAAAACGAGTTATAAATAGGAAACGTGTACAACGCAACGTGTACACGGATTTCTGCGAAGATCGAGTGAAAATAGATCTGATTGGCAAATTATATACTAGTATAAATTAAGTGTGATTATTAATTTAAACGAAAATTCGTCTCTCACTGTACTAATTACATTAATCGGTTCATCCATCTCTGACTGCATGCATGCTTGTATTTAGTTGTATGTATACATAAATACATGAACGTCACGATTTGCCTTGAGTTGATGTTAGCTTTTAATTTTCCTACATTCTTTTTTGCATTTACAGGACGACTGCGGCGACGACTTTAAGCGGCTTCTGATCGCGCTATTGAATTAATGAGCTCGAGAAGAATTATTTTCGTTACTAAGAACTCAGACATATTTAACACTAAATGTTAATAATCCGAAAGCATGCAAATGTAACGCATACATTTATTTGCAATAAACGTATACATTCGCAAATATTATGTCCTCGGCTCATTTTACTGATAATATGCAACAATATCTTTGTTTTCTTTTCCAGGACGATTGCGCCGCCGAGTGGAAAAGATTATTGATAGCAATGTTGAATTAAGAATAGCTATAATTGCGCGAGATAAATGTAACACAGGGAAAAATAATATTTGAAACCAATGGAGTATAATGTACAAAACATTTTTAATACATAATCAATTATTCAATTAGTAATATGCATTTCAGATCTATAATATTACAATGTAATGTGAAATACAATGTAATGTTTACAATTAAATTTTCAAATATAATTATAGCTTTGCTTTACTTACACGAACACATAGACGTATATATACTTTTCCAAATGCATATAAATGCAATAAAAAACATTCTGAACCTTTGGTCCATTAATCAAAACTTAATCATTATGACATAGCATGAAAATAAAAGAAACTTATATTACTTAGATTGTCTTTGAAATAAATTTGATGTTACGTTACTTAGTTTATATGAAGATTCACTGTTCGGTACATTATTCACACCATGACTACACTGGGTAGTGTATCTTCTGTCATTTTAAATGGTGACAACTTATTTTCTATATATTCTATTTTCTTACGTAATTCAGCTTGGATGCAACCTAATTTTATTTTAGAAATTGTAAGTTTCATTATCCTTCCTGTAATCTCGAAGCATGCGTGAAAGTCATCGGATTTATAGTTTATATCGTAAATACGCAAGCAAACTTCAACGTCCAGCGCGTCTACAATGTCTTCTCCGAAGCAAATAGGCGGTGGATTTCGAGCTAAAAAAATTTATATTCTGTTCATTAAAATACGACACTGCACACATTTCGCTTGTAATCACAAATGTTACCTGAAACTGTCTCGTTATAAACCGTAAAGTTGTTATAAGTCACTGTGAGCGAGACTCCATAGTCGTTCTCTAAATAAGTTGCATTTATGCATACTGTATCAACATTGAAATATATTAGTATTAAGTAATTATTATAGTTTGTAGTACGGATTACAAGTAATTATATACTCACACTTTCCGTCCATAGAGATTGCATCCCATTCTAAATGCTTACAGCATCCACAGTTATGTTTAATGCATTTGCAACCATTATCATACGTTTTCATATTATATTCACCTAAAAAATATTTATATATTTAAATACTTACACATATATATGCATTTCTTATACTGGCATTTTATACGTTTAACAAAAATTTACCGGTAAGAAATTTCGATATAATTAACACATTAGTTAGAGAATTATAATTATGCATTAAATAGAAATTTTCAAAGTATAGTAATATAGTCTATTTTTCTCATATTACACAGAATTACAAGGTTTCGAGTTAAATGCAGCATAAAATATCCAGATAGCAAAACGTCTGTCATATTTACGAAATATGTCCGTAAAGTGACGAGCGTTGCGCAATAATATATAAAGCTAGCTGTGTCCGTAAATGCTCAGCAATAATATTGAATTTGTTTCAAACAACAGTTTATTCAATATTTGTCATTTTTCCAGCAATAGTTTTCGCCCGGAGGCTTTGTTCATGTACAGTCTACATATTATTGGTAGAAATAATTTACATATTGTTGCTGCAAACAGCAATAAAATTTACATATTTTTGCTGCAAAAATACCATAAATACGAATCCTAGACGAGCTACGATTCATGTTTACGCAATGTGTGTGGCAACAATACATAAATATTGTTTTCAGCAATATACGTTTGCATGACTTCGCACACTTACGTTTTGCTATCGGGGTAATAATGTATAAAAATATCCCGTAGACACATATTCTAAAACGTTATCAAAGAAAGTATATTTAATAAATACTGTTCGTCCCGATGAGGTCCAATACGTTCGATTCCAACGACGTTATCGCATCTTGACCCGTCGCTTCTTCCGCAACTCCGGCGAAGAATAACATTCCGATAAAGGCAACGCTCGTAATATCGAAGCAACGTAATCGTCCCATATTTACTTTTTAGCTCTGTTTAGTCCTAATACTTGATGTCAAATCTCGTCAGAGATATCGCGTTTCGTAATATAATAACTTCTGAATAACTGCAATGTCCTCCTCTGCTTTTCCCTCTCGATTGTGAATTGTTGTGAATCTCCGCCCTCCGGCGAACTGCGATAAGTGCGAACTGTACGACTTTTGTTTTCTGCTGATGCTGCGCGAAATACGAACGGGCGAGCAAGGATAAATTCTTGAATTCTTCCGCTCCCCTCCAACCCGGAAGAAATGGCCGCGTTCAGCAGACACATCTGTTGCACAACTGTTAAGTCCGTCTTATCAACATTCTGGTTGATTGGTCGGTTCTAAAAGTAAGAGCCAATCACGTTCGACCGCTACTGAGCGGCTTGGTCTGCTGAACGCGACCAATAATACCAGGGAGCCGGAGCAGTCTCGTCCATAGAATGCAGTAAGCATTAGACGCGCGTTTTGAGTATTTCTGTACCCTGCTTTAGAAAGAGAAAGGAAGTTCCGATTAAACTCGAATAAAATTTGAACTTGGCATCTACTACGTTTACGCGAGCGTTATTTCTGTAGTAACTTACGATAATTCCTTCGCGTAAATGGGATTTTGTAGTAACTTACGATAATTTACTCCGCGTAAACGAGTGAATTATCGTAATTAAGTTACTAATACAGAAGTAATCGCGCTCGCATATGTACATACGTAGTAGTAGAGAGGAAATAAAGGCACGATATATATAATTCGATGCTATTAGGCTGCGTTCCCACTATACGCGTCGCGCGTCGCGTCGTCTGTCGTTTACCAATCAAAACATCCCATTTTATTACATTACTTGTGACGGGATGTTTAGATTGGTTAACGCAACGCGCGTATAGTGGGAACGCAGCCTAAGGCCTGTTCGTCTTTTCTCCTTTTCTCTCCAACATGAAAAGAAAAAAAGGAAAGATGAACCGTGTAAGAGACGTAGCTTTGAAAACGAACAGAGGCCTAAAAATTAAACGGCTGTCCTTTTTTGTGCACTTAAAATGCAACAGACGTATAATTAAGACGTCAAAAAATACAAAAGTTTAACAATTTAAATCTGTTATCAATCAGTTTCCATTCGATACAATAAGTTTCTGGAATTTACGATCTACAATGCAATTACTTTTTACGTAATACGTTTTTGCGTAATATCACGCATTTCTTTTGTAAAACGAGCGAGCAAGAACGACGGAGAGCGAATGAGGAGCGCGCGATGGGAGAAAAGAGAGAGAAGGAGCGAATAAAGGGGGAGCGACAGCGGGACAGAACGAATCGCGGGAATCGCCGTCGTTCGCGATTGAATCCGCAATTGCCCATGTGACGCGCGCAGAACGTAGAGATCAAATTATGAGAGATCGGAGGGCGGAGGCAGAGCGCGAGTCTGCATCAGCAACAACAGCAACATCGGCATCAGCATCAGCGGGGCCGACTATTGAAAAGACTATTGATAGCAATGTTGAATTAAGAGTAGCTGTAATTGCGCGAAATAATTATAACACAGGGAAAAATAATATTTGAAACCAATGGAGTATAATGTACAAAACATTTTTAATACATAATCAATTATTCAATTAGTAACGTGTATTTCAGATCTATCAGATTACAATGTAATGTTTACAATTACATTTTGAAATATAATTATAGCTTATTTGCTTACACGAATAACACATGCATACACTTTACTCTTTCAAATGGGTATATATAAAAAACATTGAACCTTATTTGGTCTATTAATCAAAACTTAATCATTATGATATGGCATGAAAATAAAAGAAACTTATATTACTTAGATTGTCTTTGAAATAAATTTCATTTTACGTTACTTTTATACTAGAAAGATTCACTTTAAATGGTGACAACTTATTTTTTATCTCACATGATTCAGTTTGGATGCAACCTAATTTTATTTTAGAAATTGTAGAAATAAGTTTCATTAGCCTTCCTGTAATCCCGAAGCATATCTGACATTTATGTTTATACCGTAAATATCAATATGCAAGCAAACTTCAACGTCTACCGCGTCTATAATGTCCCCTCTGAAGCAAATAGGCGGTGGATATAGAGCTAAAAAAATTTATATTTTGTTTATTGAAATACGACACTACACACATCTCGCTTGTAATCAAATGTTACCTGAAACTGTCTTGTTATCATAAATCGTAAAGTTGTCATATGTCATTGAGAGCGAGATCCCGTCGTTCTCTAAATAAGTTGTATTTGCGCATACTGTATCAACAGTGAAATATATTAGTATAAAGTAATAATTATAGTTTATAGTACGGATTACAAGTAATTATATACTCACCCTTTCCGTACATAGAGATTGCATCCCATTCTAAACGCTTACAGCATTCACAGTTATGTTTAATGCATTTACAATCATCATTATACGCTCCCATATTATATTCACCTAGAAAATATTTATATATTTTTACTTACACATATATAAGCATTTTTTTATACTGACATTTTATACATTTAACGAACATTTACCGGCAAGAAATTTAAATATGATTTACACATTAGTTGGAGAATTATAATTATGCATTAAGTAGAAATTTGCGAAGTATAGTAATATAGCCTATTTTTCTCATATTACACAGAATTACAAGCTTTCGAGTTAAATACAGTATAAAATATTCAGATAGCAAAAC